ATATATATATATATATATATATATATATATATATATATATATATATATATATATATATATATATATATATATATATATATATATATATATATATATATATATATATATATATATATATAATATATTAAGTGTGTAAAAAATTAAAATAAATTATTTACAAAAATGTATATATTTCAAGAAAATATTTTCAAATGTGTATAAAAATAAAAAAATGAAAATAAACATATTTTTTACATTATTTTTAGGTTTAAACAAAATAACATAAAGTATTTAAACATTTTTATGGTGGAAATAAATAAAATAAATACCAAATAAATGCAAAAAATTATAAAAATATTTTTGGATCATTTTTTATGTTTGAAAATAAAATATCAAAGTCAGAAAAGAAAATAAAAATGCAAAAATATCAAAATACAAGATTATGGGCCAGGGGATGTGAAACTGAAAGTGGGGGATGCCAAAAGTAGGAAGTAGCCAGGCCCAGCCCAGCTACTTCATCTTCTTCCTCTGTCCAACAGAAACTTGAAAAAAACGCGCGCTAGCTACACCAACCTGTATCTCCTGATTCTTTGATCTTTTTACAAAACTCATAACATGAACATTATAGAGAGTTAAACAACGAATTCAACCATATAAAAAATTTGGATTAACTCTCAAAGACCAGAGAGAATTTCTCTGGCCCTAATTTCTAACCTAGTTTTTTCATAAATTTCATGAGTGAAATTCTCTTAGCACGGTTAATGTAAATGAAAACTGAGCATATGTATGGCTTCAGGGCTATGAGTACAACATATTTCATTCACAAACCTAAGCCTAACCATTCCTAAATAGGGAGATAGAAGTCCATGAAATACCTGTTTCAGTTGACTTCGAGCTGGACAATGCAGCAACCTTCAATGGTGTTTGAGCTTCTTTTGAGCTTGCCTGAGGTCCAAGGAAGCTTCTCCAATGCGTAGCTTGCTTTGAAACAACTTGAATCGTGCTGTAGAACTCAACCTGCAAAGCTTTGAAATGAAAATGGCAAAGTGTGTTAGAGGTGTTACAGCTTGCAATGGGGGCCTGGGATAGTTCAGGTGAGTTGATTGGAAGGTGTTTGAACTATCTTTGGACAAAACGCACGATGGAATTTGGTTGTGGCTTGCAAAATGCAGAACTTGCCCTGTTTTTGCAGAAAAATAGTGATTCTGAGTATGAGGAGGTTTGAGTGATAAAAGGGTCGTGTTTCAGGCTTGTTGGGAGGTATGGAACTTGTCTACAATATTTGTCTAAGCT